GTTTCTGTCCGATCTAAGGTCACGGCGTGACCTTTGTTGTGTCATTTGGTCCTTCAGTTGCATTGGCGTCTACACGTGATCCAGTTCGATGCGCCTGTCTATTGAGTTGATTGAAAAGTTCCAGGCCTCGAGAAATTCTCTGGGCTTAGTCGATAACTGCCACTGATTCGAAGTCAAATTGATGTCCATCTTGATCTTCGTGGAGGGAAAACGACGATAGTGGGTCATACCTCCTGACTGCCGATTGGCGTTCACGGATCCTTGTTGACAGTTTTCTCCCAGTTTGTCCGATCTAGTGTTTTGAACAGTTCTTGCAGTTTATTTTGTAGCTGACGCTGCTCTTGTCCTTCTCCATTGTTCCCTCCTTGGGTTTTGACAGAAGTCCCCTTAGACAGGCGATCGCCGATCTCAACTCAGCATAAAATTCCGCTAAAAATTACGATTACATCGACCTGTTTAAAACGAAGTACAATACAGTACGCTTTCCCAACTACCTTGTTTATTTTACGCAGTCTAAATTAATTCGGGTTCATAAGCTATTAGAGATAATCACTGCTCACAGAGAACTTTCATACTTGTTCCAGTTTGCTTTTTAAACTACATTTTAAACAAATACACGTTATTCTAAGTGGGACACTGGGTTCGATATTATGTTTTTTTATGAGAGTGACACAAAGCAATGGAAATTCATAGACACTCAAGGCCATGTTATTTTTTGGTAGATCCTCCTTGGAAAGGACCATCTGTGCTTCTGTACAGATGAACCTCGAGAAACGAGGGAAAATACTTTTATTGCGATTCTCACAGTGTCCAGGTTCGATTCCGACCGGATATACGCAATAATATTATTTGTGCTTGCAAGAAAAAAGATACTGTCCACATGGTGATATCATTTTGGTTAACTATTTACTGTCGATGGCTCCCAGTTATTCCTTCTGTTGAACTGGCCAAATGATTTATGTAGCCGAATTGTCAATTAAATCAACTGAACACAGATCTTTTGTAGATTACGGACGGATAGAGAGAAATTGACAAGATAAAAAAATCCTCATGAATGTGCATCCGAAAGTACTTGTTTGTTTAGGTTTTAAACAAACTAATTTACTCATCTGCTGCAAAAACCAACACATGAATTACAGCACGTACATAAACGGGGTTAAATCTTTCCCCAACGTACATTAGTTATCGGCGGCCGTAGCTGAATGCAGGAAGCATAGCTGAGTAAGATGCTTTCGAAAGGCTCAGACGACTGTAGTAGGTTTTCAGGTTTACACAGCGATTGGGCAATAACGTTTCGGATATGTTAGCACATCTTTTGCAATTAAAATTACAGAGTTATCCACTTTGTATGCAAATCGCATAAACCCTGCCGGCTTACGTAAAGTCACGCACACAAACACACGAACTCATGTACTGTTGTGGGTGAAATTTACCTTCAACAGCAAAAATGAAAGTACGTGCACCAAAACTAGTCTCTTGAAGTTTAATGCAACAAAGGATAAACAAGTTCTTTGACCTGAAATGAATAAAAGAAAGTCAATTTTCGCATGGCGGAGGATGCAGTTCACTTGTGAATGCACACAAATGAGTTTGACTTACAAGACTGATCCAGTCCACGTCGTTTCACCCATTCACGTTCGTCAATGGTCTGATAGGCAGCGTGAAATGTCAGGTCGCCTGGTGCAGCCGGACTAGATCCGGTTGAGTCTGCGGCTGCACATTTGTAGTTTAGATGATCATCGATCCGATGCATGCCCACATGGGGACTGAGATCATTGGCGGGTAGAAGTACACACGGGGTACGTTGCAGCGAACTGATTTCCATTCTACTCGGAGTGTATCGATTGGACTCGAGGGTCTTCTGCCAACGGAACAGTGACAGCGAATAAGCGATTTGTGTGTCACACGGAGGTTGAGATTTGGAAGGGAAAATATGATTACCACTCTGTCCATAATGGTTCATTTGGCTCTAAGTATCACTCCTGATAACCTTTGTATACAAATGAGAAAACAGCGTCCACAAGGATCTCGATTTTAGCATTACAAATGGCATAATCGTGGTTTACTTGAGAGCGAACTCATTCCAACAGAGAAAACACTTTAAGTCCAAAAGATTCAGTTCAGAGCACGTCCAGTGGAGATATTAAAGATTACCAATGTAACCCAGCGGATTAATGTGGTAAGTTTAGATTGATGAACCTGACAATAGCTTTCTAGTTTACTTGAAAGAAATCGGAAGCTTTCATGAATTGATCCCAGGTACACTGACAGATTTAAGTCAGTTGTACAAATTGACAGGACGAATGTCCAAAGACAGTAATCCAGAGAACAAAACAAATCTCTTTCGGCCGGTTTGTAATTTTTAAATAAACCATTTCCCTCTCTCTGTTTTATTGTTGCAAACATGCATACACTTATTTCCGCTGAGTTCATTTCGGTTGATTTTGTTGTTCGAGCGAGCGAGCGAGCTAGTGATCAGTCAGACTCATTTGAGTAGATTGTGGCCTCCATACGTAGTCTATGAAAAGCAACCAATTTTATACAGAAACGTTGCCATTAATAGGCCTAATATCTATATAGGTGTGGATTTGCACTTCAAGTGCACAGGAATTTCACTCCAGTCGATGAATTATGATCATTCTTGCCCAGCGATTGCCTCCCTCAGTCGTGTTCAAGGCAATTGGAACTAGGTATTTCGTGCAAGCGCCTCTTTTTAACAGTTCAAAATTATTCAGATCCAAATTATATATAAAATGGCACTGTAGTTAAACGCTACAAATCTTGACCAAATAATTTACCCTAGAAGTACATTGATCGTTTGACCTCCAAACACGGTCTAGATATTATGGGTCAGAGCACGTCTAAATCCTACTGTATTGTCTAAGTCAACTTGTGGAAAACGCTCTTGGTCACAAGGGAAAACAAAATCAGACAATTATTTTCAAAGACTCGGAAGTTGCATCATTGTATACTGAATAATAGGAAGTTAAATAAGAAGAATAAAAGTAACAAGATATACGCATTTTGGTTCATTCATCAAGTGCCTCAGAATGATTTCAAACTCGTCCGGATGCATCTTCTGGTTATTCGAATCCATACGTTGTACTCTTGACGTATGTTTGGCTCATTTCTTTCACACCCAATGTCTTGTGCCCATAAAACTGCTCACTAGCAAGACGGGAATCAAGTGGCACTCCTTTCCTAATCAAGCCATCATATTTATCGGTCAAGAAATAAGGCATTCGTTTCCACCGTCAGATCATATGCCCATACACATCCAAACCAATAATGGCTTCACATTAGACGGTAAAGTGAAATAAGCTCCTTGTAGGTGCCTCCCCGAACTAGCCAAACACAGTAAAATTATTCTATTTCACCTGCTCGCCGAGCTTGACAATTTGTTTGCAAACATTTTATTACTTCACAAGCATTGATGGTGTCACCTCGGCGAGTGATGAAACTTTGCAAAGAAATTGCCAAGCTCGGCGAACAGGCAAATTGGAATTCAGTTCACGCGAGCTACGAGAACCGATTTTCAATAATTTGTCAACAGTAAAATTACATAGATCAAAGTGAAATGAGTGGAGAAACGAAGAGCAAACTACGGGCTGCATGGAGAGCGTTTAAATGTGACTGCGCACCAGTAAATCATGGTCAGGTACTCAATGTTCCAGTCTTTGTCATTGATGGTTTTCGGTGTTAGTGACGGAGAACTATCAGACTGTGGAAGATCCGCTAAGTTGTTTCTGAGCGCCCAATCGAATAGCGATCACCTGGGCCATAGACAACCCCCATGCTCGTTTGATCGAAACCCAATGATAGTGTAGACACTAACACAATTACCACAGATGTTTCAGTTTCTCCACTTGTGCAGGACGTTTAGAAACTTCCAACGTCAAGTCTGATATAGCTTCAGTCTACTGATGGTGCGTTTGTCCGTTCACATGAATTTATGTACAAGAGTTAAAGGCTCTCGAAAAACATATTCGTTGTAACATACCTATAACCCTGCTGTACACATTCCGCTTTACATTTTTTGATAAATGCAAGTTCATTCAATGAAACAACCTTTACCATTTTCAGTCCAATTAAACAACAATTTAAAAGGGTGGCCCATTTGGGACAGGCGATCAAACACGCGAAGGAGAAATCAATCCACAAGAAGGTCTTAGGTCACTAATTTGAACCGGATTGGGCATAGGGTCAGGGAGCGTAATCACTGCAGCGATGAGGGGAGCAAGAAGGACAGTAGCACCTACCAGGACATAGGGAAGCTGGTCACGAATTCCGTCTGTCTACACAAACCCAGTTTCTGAATGCTAAATTGATGACTAAATATGACTAATCTTTCATCAGATCTGTGGTTCAGAAGCAAACCCCAACGGAAAAGTATCTGAATTTCGGAAGCGTTCAACACAATACATACGATCATTGGTTCACAGTTTGGTCATGACACTGCACGAAAATGGATCACCAAAAGGTTTAATGCAAAGTATGAAGCGCCGGTGAACAATACAGAACAGAGTGAAACCGCCTCAAAAAAGCCGATTTTGTCACCATACTGTTCAAAGATGATCAAAATGATAAGCAAATATGGCGCATGATGAAACAGTCGATTGAAACAGCGTACAATGCTAACTTCATCATAACACTTCACGGCACGAAGTGAATGCTCACTGAATCCATTCTAGAGAAACTAGACTCTTCAGTTACCTCTTCCTGTGTATTCCTAGTTCAGTGTATTTGCGGTAACATGCACATATAAACAACAAAGAGACGATTATCTACCAGGGTAGCACAGCATGCCTAGAAGAATTTGGCGTTCAATGCCTGCAATCTTCTGTCCAGTTCAAATGGGATGTGACCAACCCGGGGAGGCCTTTCGTGCCTTGATGTTCCAGGCGGGAAACCGTCTACTAAATTTCGGTGAGGCACCTGCCATTCGACGTTACAAGCCTGCTTTGTGTAAATAGACCAAATTCCTGGCATGTCTCGCGCTGCCTTGATAGGTGTTACTTTCCTTCTTTCTTCTTCTAACCGGGCAGTTAGTACGCTCCCTGTCCCTGTGCCCGATCGAGTTAGAATTAGTGACCTTTGGTCCTGGTATTGATCGATTTATCTTGTCCGTGTGTTTGCCTGTCCCCAAACATACCACTCTTTTTTACTAATCGTGACCTGACAGCATGTACTCCTCTCACTTGCCAGATTTGAACACACTGTAATCTACTACCTACTCTGGATATCAGTCTGATGGTCAATACATAATCCCTAGTGTTTCGGGGATTCTCTCCCGGTTTCCGGAGTCTCCTGTGACATGTAGCGACGAGTCTTTGGAGGTGCGCTTGGCGAACTATTCAATTAATATTTCCTCAATTTCGCCCCTGAGAGATAGTAAAACTCACTTTTTTCGTATACTGTATTGGTTGATCCTTATGAACCATATGTTTTTGGTTCTTTCTCGCTGTTACTAATCCACACTTATTGTTGAAAAAACTCAGTAAAATCCATACCGGCTTTGGAGCAGATACTGTGAAAAAACTTAGTCAACTGTTGATTTGTCCCCTCTGCGTCAGCTCTTGGGGTTTGTATATCTACCTATGTGACACTCCAACATTTACATCTCAGTAGCACATTTGACATTTGTGCTGTTCTTTGTTGATCACTTCTCTTTTTAATCACGTGCGACATTTTCAGCCCAATCCCGGTCAGTTTCGTCACAACCCTCACATCTCTCTGTTCTGTGCCAGTGTTTGTTACATTGACCGGTGGGATTTACGGCATTGCTCAGACTTCTGCCGATTCTTCTTTTATTGTAGCTTCCTCATTTTGTGCAAATTTGTGAGGGGATTCACTAATTCGTAGTAACATGTACTGACTTACTCGAGCGACGCTTGACTACACTGAATGGGCTCCCGCTTGAGAACCTTTTGCAAGCCGTGTCTTTTCGGTATGTATTAAAGTTTTATTTCGTTTATATTGAGTATGACACCACATTCCGCATCGACTACATTGTGTTGCATTTGGCTTATGTGCACTTTTGACGGTGTGTATATTTTCGTAAAGAGAATCATAAATGCTCCGAACCTACAGTATTCTTTACGATACAGAATGAACATAAGACGGGAAAATGTGAGGTCTATGTGCTCTAATAATAATAATAACAATAATAACAATAATGATAATAATAATTACTCAGATCCCACTATTCTCCTGGTAAGCAACACTGCCAACGTACAAAGGTTTACTGAGGCGATGCGCTGGCAACTAAATACTGCATTGATATTTTTGTAAAAGTGCACGTGATCCCATGAAGGTCGAAATAAAAATTATTTTCTCCATCTGATGAGAAGCGCCATCGATGCAAGGCTCTTGGTTTTGCGCACTTCTACTGAGTTGACACATTGGAACTTTCATAGTGATTTTCATTATTAGGTATAAGAAGACATCCCAGCTTCACAAAATTCCACATGCCTTTTGGTGACAGATAGAGGAAGTCATCACGACTACCGTATAGGTGGTTGATTGGTTTGTATCAGATAAGACAATAGTATGATGGTACACCTCCCACGGAAAGGTTATATTCGGAACATTCGATTTTTGTCCGTTTCCAGAGTACCAATTTACACAATCTGTGAAACTTTTCGGAACGAAAAAGATCTGTGTTCCAAAATTTACATAAACTGTGAAGACCATTTTTCACAAATGAAAAAGCAACCTGTTTTTGATCCCTTCTCCAAATGATATTGAAAACCTAGAGCAAATGAACTCATGGAAACCTTGTGAAAAGTGAAAAGTTTGTAGCTTTCTTCTTCCCCTTTACCACATATTCAGCCATTTTCTGAGTTTGTAAAAGCTGGAAGA